TTAAAAACATCAGGTAAGTCTTCCAGAATCAACAGAATCACAATGACAAAGATGTATTTATTACATTTATTTAATCACAATCCTTATCCTAAGTCCACAAGCAGCCAAGCCAAGCCAAGCCAAGTTGCAGGGCTCACTCCGAAGCAGTACCAGTAAGGAGGAAATGATGAAAATACTTCTAAATGTGTTAACTAACAGGTACTTTGAATTAATAATGTTGATTTTTTTATATAGTTATACATGCATCAGTGCTCTAGGTACTGCTTAGTGTGACAATGCTGTGCACATGATTAGCTTTGAAAGGACTGTATGCTTATAGTCCTGAGGAAATGGAGCTCAGCATACACCTATTTTCTAAGTAACATTTTTTCTTTGCAATTTCCTGACAGTACATGCCAGCAAGAAGTGAAACGATAGGTGGCTTCCATGACACTGAACTAAAAGCAAGAGAGCCTAAGTCACACCTATCTAATCCCTTAAAGAGAGAGCAGAAGGTTAAAAAAAAAAACAACAAAAAACCAAGCTTTTAAATTGGCTGAATGAGACAAGCATTGCCTCATCCAAGTCCTGCCTCAAGGAGTATTGAGAAGAAAAGGCCCTTCTTTAAACTACTGAGATAAGATACAAGTTAGCAATACACATCTGTTGGGCCAACCTGCAGCACCCAGCATCGCCAGGGTAAAACTGCAACTCAGCTGCTCACCAGCTAAAATCCTGGTTCTTGCCAGTGTTTCTAATATGTAATATTCATCAGCAGGTCTCAAAACATGGTAGGAATGAGGAAAAGCTTTGTTCTAAAACTACTGTAATACACAAACCCAGACATTTAACACAACCTGAGCTCGGGACCCCAGCACTAAGCTGCCATGCCACAGCTCCAGCTCCAGCCCCGCTCTGCACTTCAGTGGTGGCACAGTCCTGCCCACAGTGTTGCCACGTGCGCTCCGCCAGCGTGGACAGCAGGCACAGAAGGAATTCTGAACAAACACCTTTACGTACTTGAAAATTAATTTTAAACAGGTCACGATTGTATCCTACCGTAAATGCTTATTTTTAAAAACTTAAACTGAAGTGTAGCCTATTCTGTCAGGCAGATGAAAAGACAAAGCAACATCACCCATGAATAAAACTCCCCAAAACCACACTGGGAGCACCATTCCCTTGTGTCAGCTCCCGAGAAAGTCCCTGCACCCCTGCGAGGCTTCACCAATGCAATATGTTTTTAGTAGTCATCTGCCAATGATATTTAAGCTCTTATAAAAGGGAGAAAGAGGAGCCCAGTTGTAACGTCATTGACAGATCTGCGAGTATGGACTGTGTAACTTACTACTTCTCTGTAACAACCCTTGCAGGAGAACCCCAGAATCATTCTGATCAACACACACGGTTCTGATCCTTGGGAAAGATCTTCAACTGCCACCACAAATCACATGTTACAGGCTGGAAACTCCCCCACACCCTACAGGAAATCTGAAACTATTATCTATTAAGAATAATTAGCAATTTCTATTGTCCTCTTGATTTCCTAAATTTAGGCCTAAGCAGCTCTTATTTTCAGCCTGAGAAGTATTTCAATGCTCACTTCACTGACATTTCAGCTGCCCTCCCAATCTTTGCCTTTAGTTTAGAAAATGGGCCTGAAGTTCACCAAAGTAGGAGAGAGCTGCCTGAACCTGAACTATTCCAGTGCTGCTCCCCTTTGTACCACAGTAATTCCAGCTCTCTGGTTCAGGAATACAGGGCAGATACAGAGGGTTGTAAATAAACTTATAAACATACTGAGCTACCCTGAGGTAGCAGGGACCAGCTATTGTTTCCCCATAATATTCTACAAGAGGGTACAAACACATTATAATTAACGATGGAAGCTGGTTATGGAGTTCTTGATGGAAGACACAGTTACTCCAACTGGACAAGGCAATCAGCAGATGCTGATTCAAGAGCTGTCCCATCCACAGCAAGTTGGATAGACAGCAAGTTGGTGAGCAGACAAAGGACACAACCTGAGCCCCCAGGCTGGGAGGAGCACAGGAGACAGGACAGGCACAGGAGTCAGCAGGACACACAGGGCAGAGCTTGCATGCAGCCAGAAGGGGAAGTGTTGATGCCTTTTGCTTCTGTAGAACCCAAATGAACAAGTTACTCCTGTACAGAAAGGGACTGCCATCATTTCAAGGGCAAAAATCACCCAAAACCATAAGGAGGCAAGTGTTTTATTGAGTTCTTCATTGGTCTTAGCCTGGATCCATGTTGACTCGGACATTTGGCACACACATCCATTGAATCCTGGAACATCTACTCCAGGTGAATGAACTAGACAGAGCTTACACAGAAGCCACTGCCCCTTATTTTAATTCTGGGCATATTAAACCAAACACAGTCTCTTCTGTGGCCATCTCCCATCACAAACTGGACTCCAGAACCGAGAACCCCATGAAAAAGCAAAAACTCAACCTGCTTCAGAATCATCCATATTCGGTGTTGTACTTGCTCCAATCAACACTGAATTCAGGTGGGAATGCCATGGGGAACATGTGGAACAGGAGAGCAGTTCCACAAGCAGCCCTTCCTAGGTGCTTCCTCCCATCCCTATTGTATTCCCCAAACCCTTTGTTCTAATGCCTTTCCTACACAACTTTCAGCAGCAGTGTCACCCCCACGATGCAGCAGGGGGACAGCAATGCTCTTACAGAGCCACAGTGCTTAAAAGGGCTTCCAAAATCCTGAGATGTTATTTTACAGGAACTTGGCACATGAAGAAGGGCAATGCAATCCAGTCTGTACACTGACAGCAGTCACTTCACTGTAGTCACCAGAGATACCAGGGATTGTCTTTTCCTGTGTGCCCACCCATAATCTGGTCTGTCCAAGAAGTTCCATGGAAAAATAACAGCAAGAAGCCACAATACAGGGGTTTCTCTAGATTTCAGAGAATCTTGTGTGCAACACACCCGCACAAAAATTATAATTCTTATCTAAAGCGTAAATAAAATAAATTCAACAAGTGAATAAGTGGATAAATTGAAACAGTTATCAGACAAAAAAAATCCGGCTTTGCAACAGTGACTGGTCACTTCTCACTGCCAGACAAATCAAGATCCACCCTGCAGAAAAACCAGCCTCAAAACAGAACGCGAGATTTGTTTCATTTCCGAAGGTTCCTGCACCATTAGATTCCTCCCTAAAGAAGAGACTTCATTGTTACGGCAATTAGTATTCCTCCACCCCGGCAAAGGGAGGAAAAAAAAAAAAGCTCTGAAAGGGTAATCGAGCCATTTCGCAGCTTTGCCTCCTTACTCCACCCAGTCTCTTCCCTGCTCAATGGCTGCTCACAGCATCCACAAACATAGGAACAGCAACAGAAACACAGAAAAACGAGATCCCCGAGAACAAGCCGGAAATTTGCAACGCATCTTTCAGTTTAAAAATATTTTCTTTGTTTAGTTCCCTAACATAATTTTCCTGTTTAACAAAATGACTCTAAGGGAAAATAACATTCTGACAGCAGACCCTCCCTCTCCCGAAAACCAGCCGAATGCTGCACAATCATTTACAAAATGATCATCACTGAACGGAGGTTCTTTAACCACCACCTCCTAATGGCATGAACAATACTGTCATAGGAACATACAATTAAAAGAATCACCACAAAAATACGTAATTCAGCCAGGTCAGTATGCCCAAACATTTATTTATAGTAAAATAGTGCTTATTAAAGATTTTTAATACAGCTTAGATTAACCTTCCCCCCTCCCTGGTAAGTAATTCATTATAAAAGGACTTGACCTGCACCAACCAAGCCCACTGCTGCAGCACTGCCGGCGAGGAAATGGTTCCAGTGATACCATGGCAAAGAAAGGGAAGGTGTCACATTATTATTGGTATTAAAGGTCAAGTTTAATTGCCTCCACCTTAAACAGAAAACAATAAAAAAAAAATCTCATGCCCACAGAACTGAGCAAACCCCAAACTTTCCAAGGGAGGCACCACTCCCACCCCCCAACTTCCATCGAAAGCCCTGCCTGCGTATAACCTCCTGCCGAAACAAAACCTCGGGAGTAACAATAAATACAAGATTTTAGCAAACTCGATTGCTATTAAAAGGTTTCCGAGGGAAGCCCGTGCACCTCCAGCCGTCCAGGCAGCGGTATGACCCCCAGAAGGAGATCAGACCTCCCTCGCCCGTTTTACCGCAGCTGGTTCTGAAGGCATGAGCCACCTCCTATCGCTGCTGCCCTGCTGAGCACTGCAGGAAAACGGGGGATGCGAGGCAAATTCTGAAACAACACCTACTCCTTCCCCTGGATTATCAATTCTCGCCCTGTTTTCGGTGCCGCGGCCGCGCTGGCGAATTGGGCCATCGCCCGACCCCCGGCCCTGCCACGGCAGAGGGGGACGGGGGGAACCCCCGGGAGGAACCGGGGAGGGATGCTCGGGGTCCCCTCGGCGCACACGCCGGGCCCCTCGCCCCGACGGCTTTTTTACGGCTGTTCGCCCCGGCCCGTGCCCTTCTCCCGGTATTTGCTAAGTCACGGGAGGAGCGGCGCGGCCCGCGGGGGGGACACGGGCCCGGCGGGGGCTCCGCGCCCGCCCCGCCGCTCCCGCCGGGCCCTGTTTTCCTGCAGAGTCACGGCGGGAGCGGGGCCCGGGCCCGCGGGCAGCGGGGAGGCCGCGCCCCGGCCCCCAGAGCCCCCCTGAGCCCGGCCCGGTGGGGGGGACACCGGGCCGGCCCCCCCGACCCCCGCCCCGCCCGGTCCCTCCTCACCAACGGGCGCGGCCGCCATTTTGAGAGCGAGCAGAGAGAGGGAGGGGGAGCGGGGCGAGGGCGGGGAGCGCAGGGGAGGGGGAGAGTGGAGCGGAGAGCGCCGGCCGCTGGGGCCGCGGGCCGGGACGGCCCCGCGGGGCCGGGGGGGGCGGCGGGCCCGGCCTTACCGAGCCCCGCCGGCGCCGCCGCCTCGCTGCGCCGCGCGGGGCCGGCGCCGCCCGCCTGTCCCACTCACCGGCGCGGCGCGGGGTCCCGGTGCGGGGTCGCGGTGCCGGTGCGGGGTGGCGGTGCCGGCGCGGGGGTCCCGGTGCGCGGTGCCGGCGCTGGGCGGGCGCTCCGCTCGCTCCGCGCTGTCAGAGGCGCCGCGGCCGCCGGGAGGGAGGGCGGGAGCGGCGCGGCCGCCGCGGCGCTGCGCATGCGCGGCCGGGGGCGGGGACGGCCGCCCGCCGCCATCTTGGGCGGCCGAGGCGCGGGTGCGTGTCCCGGCGTGCCCCGCGCGCGCCTCCCGGCGTGCCCCGCGCGCCCGCCCGCCTGAGGGGGCCCGGGAGCGCAGCGGGAGCGTGCCGGGAACACACCGGGAATACCGGGCGTATACCGGGAATACGGGTCCTATGCCAGGAGTACGGGGGGCACCGGGCACATACCGCGAATACCGGGGACACCGCCGATACCGGGCACATACTGGGAATAGTGGGGACACCGGGAATACCGGGCACACACCGGGAAAACCGGGCACCGCGTCCAGTCCCTCCAGCCCCGGCCTCCCGCGGGCTCCAGGCGCTGTAGCGTTTTGCAGGTGTCCCTCCCACGCCCCCTCCCGGGACAGCCCCGCTGCAGGAGTGACCTTGTCCCACACACCTGGAGTCAGCGGGATCGCCCGTGTCCGTGTGTCGGGAGCGCCGCGAACCCGCCGCGTCCCTGCGCGTCTCCCCGGCCACCTCCACAGGGCCGGCGTGGGAACAGTCCCGCTCTGCTCCTGCAGCTGAACGTTTGCATTATCTACAAACCCCACCGAGCTGCATCTCCAAGGGTTCTGGTTTCGTGGAGCACTGTTCCCGCTGGGGTTCAACCCTCGTGCTCCCCAGGGGCGCTGCCAGGACAGCCCTGGAGAACCGGGCGCTGCCGTCCAGCAGCACAGCCAAGCACCCGCCTCCATCCGAGTCCTCCCCTCAGTTCGCCAGCTGAATCCCTGCGGTCTCTGGGGGTTGGAGTGTCAGGGATAGCAGTGCCCACCCAGAGATGCCCTGACAGAGGCGCCATCCCAGCCCCTGATTTTGGCCGGGAATCCTGGAGTGGAGCAGCGGGAGCCCTGCAGCTCCAGGACAGGGACCAGTCTGAAATGCTGACCCGAAGGAAGAGGTAATTCCACGTGTAACATTATCTAGAGAGCAAAAACTCTGTGAGAAACTTCAAGGGACACTGGAAATTTCGTTATCAAAAGCTGTACAGTCTTGTCTTACTCGTAGAAGTAGCAGCAGAGATTACAAACGTAACCATTATGTAATGGATCTCCGTGTGGGTGCCCAGGGCACCTGAGGGTGCTGGTGTCAGCATCACCTGGGCTGGGCCATGGGCCCTCAATTGCTCTTGTTTGTGTTATTTTATACCACAATGGACAAGAGAGGGCTGTGCAAACCCCACACAATGCAGGGCTGCCACAGCAGCCAGGGGAAATTTTTTACTCATTTTTTAATTGACTACATTCCAAGTTTTAGATCCATTTAAAACTTGAAAAATTCTCACTGTTCACACCTAGAGATGGTGATATTGCAGATATTCCCAAATACACTGGTGACATGCAAAATGGACTAAAAGTGAAGGGTAATTCAGTTTCCATATAGTGATTTCTTCGATATATTGAAACTTTTCAGTGATGAATTTCTTCACCAAAAAGGTAGTCACCTTTGGAAGGGGCTGCCCAAGGAGGTGGTGGAGTCCCCATCCCTGAAGGTGTCCAAGGAACAAGTGGACATGGCGCTCAGTGCTCTGGGATGGGTGACAAGGTGGGGATCAGGCACAGGATGGACTCGATGGTCTGGGAAGTCTTTTCCAACCTTTATGATTCTATGATTAGTATAATTAATTAATGATGAGACATTTGACAAGTCAGCAGGCCACATTTCCAGTGAGGAGCCAGTGCAGTGTCCATCTGACCCTTTTGTTAATGAAAAACAGTCAAACCAGAGCAGCACACGTCAGCATCCTGCACCAACATGTCAAAGACGCATTCAGATATGTTCCAAAAAAGAGAATTGGATCTGGCCATACTCTTTTGGGTTTTTTTCCAGTATTTCTAAATCTCTGTGCTGACCACTGGCAAAAGCCCTTTCCTTCTGTGGCAGAGAGGAGATTCCTGGTTCCCATGTGAGGCACTTGTCAGGGGTATTTCATAGACACGTCAACATGAGAAACACAGGGGACTGAAATTTAGGGGAAGACTTTCAAATGATTGCCCAAACTACCTTGGCTTTACTTCCATTTGTTTGCAAAGCAGGCAAAACTGCTTTGACAGCCTCAAAATTCTAGTATATCACATATTTTGGGGTGTGTACTCAAGCAATAATTAGCATCTACCCAAGAAATTAAATCTGGCTCAGAGATTAATGAATTTTCCGAAGATCTTTAGGACATTTGAGGACCTAAATGCCTTTAGGACAGGCATTTTATTCTCCTTTTACAGCTGGCCTTCCTTGTAATATCATTGCTTGATACTGGAATGGAAAAAATCCCAGGTGCCAGCACAGCTGAACCACAAGGAGTCCCAGAGCCCATTTTTCTTGGTCGTTTCCTTGATTGCCACCAAGAACCTCCATGACAGCGAACACGGACCCTGCACCTTGGCAGAGAGGTGCAGACCCAAATTGCACAGCTCCTTCTGATTCCAACTGCAGATTTCCCTTCAGGGTGTTCCTGAAGTCAGCCTTTGCAGCTTGCACCGCCCCTCTGCAGTGTGAGCCAGGCTTCTTCAGGGGAGCTTTTGCCGTCCGGGGTGGCACGCACAGAGATAGCTGCTGCAGCCGAGATCGTGATTCCAAACAGTCCATCAGCCCTTCCCACACACTTCCTGCTACACACGGAAACTGGAGTCATTGATAATTCATATGTTGCCTCTGAATGAAAGTTGTCATTAATATTCTACCCGTGTCCGTATTTGTGTAGCAAAGCACCCGCAGCCACGGTACCACTGCAACCAACTCATGTACACGGTTCACATCTGAGCGGTGCCTGACCTACAGAAGGCACGAGCTCTTACAGCCACAGACCTCTGGAAGAGAAAGAGTTGCACAAAAACGCCTCCACAGATTTGAGCTGAAAGAACAGTGCAGTTTTAGGTCGGGACTGAATTCTGGTGACACAAATACTGTTATTACAAGGTGCCTAAGCACATACCAAAAGAAAATTAACTTCTAGCTGTGTCTTGTTCAATTTAATGAGTCAATGGGCATGTCTACCTGTGTCATTAACCCTGTCACTGGGATAAATCACAAGAAATTTGGATTATTTTCTTCTTTTTGTTCACTAGTGAATAATGACTTCTCTGTGGCTCAAGCAAGACTTGGCTCTAGAACTGCTAAGTGTCCACTTTATTGTTTACATACGTGCAAAAATTTTAGCAATCCCACTTCCAGTACTCATGTAGCCTTTCTTCTACATTATGAACATAAGGAAGAGGGCAATCTGTGTGTCCTTCTCTACCTGACATTCTTAATAGCATTAAAAAGAAAAGATAAACAAATCCTGTCTCTGAGGTATCTCAGTGTTGGGAACTTTGTCCCTGTGCAAAGTCTTCACCTGTTGCAGTAGAATTTTTCATTGAAGTGAACCTCTTTTCTAGTTAAGTATGAAGAAAATGAAAACTAGATTTTCAGCATGTGTTCTGGTTTTACTGCTAGAAGTTCCTATGCCCGTGTTTGTTCCGTTTTACTTCTCATCTGGACAGCTGATCATGTACATTGTATAAGGAGTTTGTGTTACTGTCAATGACAATGTATTTCTATATCTTGATTCAGTAGTCTTTGGTTAGCCTTTGATAGTTCAATAGTATTCTGATAGATATTACTTTCACGTGCTTCCTTCTTTAAACTCACATGTTAGTTCAGAAACTGCTTTTCCTAGAGGCAAAGGATGAAAGTCCAGGTACAAGTAGCATTTCAACTGCTTATCAGTTGTGTTTTCACTGGTGTATTCTGACAGAGGCCCTGACACAGACCTGGCTGCTCACCCTTGAGGTGCTCACCCTCGAGGCCCTGACTGCCCTGGGCCTGGCTCCCCTGGTAGTCCCAGTTTATCTGCTAGTTCTTCTGTGTTTTTTGAAGCTGTAATCAATGTCTGCTTGGCCTCATGTTCACCCTCTCTGTCCCCATACAGTGGGATGTTAAAAATATCCTTTTTTTTGTGAGGCTGGGAAAGCAGGTGTTGCATGTAACAACTTTAACCTTTAAAACTTTAGCCTTGTTAAAGCTTTTAACAAGAGTATTAATTGCAGGTATTTATTGCCATACAAGAAGACGTTTTCTGTTCCCAAAATCTTAAAATTTATGAGAATTACACTTATTCAAGGACAAATATACTTATTTTAAAAGCTTTTACTTAACAGTTTCAACAAATTATTTCTTATATCTTCAAAATGTTTTTCTGAGTTACAGTGAAGACCAGTAACATACACATTCCTAATAAAAAGGATGATAAAGCAGTGCAGAGATAATAAAGGATCCACTTTTTAATCTAATTGGGCATGCACTTTTGCCTGCAAAAGCTGCACACAGGTCTCATGCTAGTGCTGCAGCTGAACATGCAGATTAGGTCATCATGGCTCCTGTAGCTAACCAGAATAATTTGTGCATAAGTACCTGATTTGCATAGAAAACTGCTGCAAAGGCCCATGCTGGTATCTGGGATCGGATTAATTGCTGCTGGCTGCCCCAGATGTGCTGCACAGCTGCAGTTCAGCAGTTGGATGGACTCCAGCACAGGCCTTGTCACACCTCAGCACCCCCTGTCCACTCACCTGTACCTGTAGGAGCCACACTTCAGGTGAAATAAAAGAAACTACTGTTGTTAGAGGCAGCAATGTAAGGTTGCTTCCCAAATTTGTATCAAAGTAGAACAAGCAGATATAACCTAAGATTGGGAAAATAGGCCAAAGCACATGAGCATGAGGCAGTAGTGTTAAAAGAGGGGAGCACAAACTAACATCGATGTACTCTTAATCCATGGTTATCCCAGATTTGGATTAAACTGCCTTCTGGAGGGGTTTCCAGGGACCTTTTCACATTGAGGTCTTTACCCTTGGTCACTGGAAGCATTTCTCCTTCTCGTGGGTTTATGTTTTGAAAAGGATGAGAGAAACATTTCTGCCCTGTGT